ACATGACACCACACACAGTACCTATACATACACACAGTTCATACATACGCACTGATCCAAACACAGGATACAAACACGTACATACACACACTGTACAATAACACAGTGTGTACGTATCAGCACACACAACCAACACACAAACAGCGCATATACACAGGCACAGTGCTGACACACACACACACGATGCATACACACAAATATCTCCCGTGTAGCCTTCACGGACTGTACGGGCAAGTGCTGCGAGCGAGGCCGGGACAGTGGCACGAGGGGGTGGGTGGTAACAAATCACGCCCGGCCGCCTTTGTCTCCCTAGTGGCGAAGTTTACACAACATACCAGGCACTCATTTGAGACTGAGTCGTCCTAGGGGAGGTTCAGATAATGGTGGTGTTGGCTGTGCGCTAACCACTACACTACCGCTCCCTAAACACGTACGGTGCACACATACGATGCATACAGTACACACACACGCACCTATGGTCCACCAGAATAAAAAATCAACAATTTTTTACGTAACCAACTGAACTGCTGTGGAGCTCTGTCAGAAGCGACCTGGCCACCACAAATGAGAGCGGCTAAACCAAGTGGCTGATACCATCGCCATCATCACCATCATCACCATCATCACCACCATCACCATCATCACCACCATCATCACCATCATCACCATCATCACCATCATCATCATCACCATCGTCGTCATCGTGTGGAAATTTATAGCGGCAGGCAAACACTCGAAACGATTGGTGGTGATGTTGATTCTGAATGTGGAGGTGAAAACCCGGAGGCCCCAGAGAAAAATCCACGCGACCACGGGGAGAGAGACACACAAACTCCTAATTGACAGCAGCAGCAGCAGGCGTCGTCAGGGTCGGGATGAAACCAACGAGCTCCTGCACACCAGGCGAGGTAGTCAACATCTCCTAGCCACCGTGGTGCAAGACACCTCAATACAGAGCACATAGACGAATACAGAGAGGCACACACACACAAAGACAAATATACAGACACACAGTGCCCACGCAGCGACACACACAATACATCCAGTACACACACCTCAATACACAGCGCACAAAGACAACAACAACAACCGCCATTCGCCACTAAGTGGCGGTGACGTCACCACGATGCTTGCGCCAGGCCATGTGCACCTTGAGGCCACGTGAAGTGTCGAACGCCCGCAAGCAGGTCACGGGGCAGACCCAAGTGCCACTGATAGAGTGACTAAGATGACTGGCTGATGCACCACCTGTGCCCCCTACTGTGTCAACCTGCTGTGCTCTAACCACCTGGCGCTCTGCTCGTTGTTGTGAGCGTCGCTCCTCCGCCCTCCGTTGTTGTTGGAGGGCGACTGCCTCCAACTGCCCAGTAGCGTCCTTCACGAGCCTCCTCCACAGAGGCCGATCTTGACACCGCTGGTACCAGTCATCGGCAAGTCCACTCAGCTCCACGTCCTCCTGTACCACATCACTCCATCTCTTCTCTAGCCTGTGCCGCGCCCGTTTAGCCCCCTCGATCCGGCCGAACAAAAGCTGTTTCGGCATGCGGTGGCTGGGCATGCGGGCTACATGACCCAGCCAACGCAGCCTTGCCTGCCGGAGGAGCTCACCGATGGGACCTTGCCCAGATCTTTCAAGGATTTGTGAGCTCCTCACACAATCCAGCCTGGTTAAACCCAGGATGGATCGTAGGCAGGCCAGCCTAAATGTTTCTAACCGGCGAAGATGTTCCATTAGGGGGGTCCACGTTTCGCAAGCGTAGAGAAGGGAAGGAATGACCGTGACCGAGAAGACCTGAAGCTTAGTGCGGAGCGACAGACCAGGTAACTTCCACACAGCGTTACGCAACCGATGAAAATATATTGCCGCTCGACTGATTCAGAGTGAGACCTCTGCTGTTAAACTGGAGCCGGTCATAAGCACACTGCCCATGTATGGGAAACTCTCCACTCTCTCCACAATTGCCCTATCACCGATTGGGAGTTGTGGGGGTGGAGTGTCCGATGGTACAAAATACCCAGGCAGGTGCTTAGTTTTGGTGGGGCTGATGGTAAGGCCCCATCTCTTAGTAGCACGCTCCAGTCTCAGCAGCAGCATCTCCAACTCCTCCTCTGAATGAGCAGCTATTACCAAATCATCGGCATACGTAACATGGTTGAGCAATAGGGAGCCATCCCTTGACCGCACCCGGCCATCGATCAGCCTCCCATTATATCTGTACCAAATGGAGATTCTCCCGGTCCAACTATTGCAGGCTTCACGAACTACGTGGTCAAACTAGATGTTAAATAATGTGGGAGCCAGAGGACATCCCTGTCGCACCCCAAGGTGTACAGGGAATGGCTCTGACTCCCGGCCACGTAGTTTTACCCGGGCCCGCTCACCATCATGAAGGTCCTTAATGATCGTGAGCAGGGGGTCAGGGACTTCAAAAGCACGAAGAACAACCCAGAGCCCAGGCCTACTGATGCTATCATAGGCCTTGACCAGGTCAATAAAGCAGAGATGTAGGTCTTGTTGGAATTCCCTACACCTCTGCTGTAGCAGACGGACAGAAAATATGGCATCTGTGCAGGACCACCCTTTCCTGAAACCGCATTGGGGCTCCGCAAGCCTCTCCTCAGCGTGCCTGGCAAGGCAATGTTGAATAACCCTTTCCAGAACCTTTCCCGGCACACTGAGGAGTGAGATGCCCCTGTAGTTGTTACAGTCTGTGCGGTCGCCCTTCTTAAAGAGGGGGATCACCAGGGCATCCTTCCAATCCTGCGGAACCCGTCCAGTGGTCCAGACTGTTGTTATGATGTCATATAGGGCAGTCTGTGCACAAACGCCACCCTCCCTCAGCATTTCGCTTGGGAGATCATCTCTGCCCGATGCCTTTCCTGGTCTCAGACTCCAGATCGCCTTCAGTACTTCCTCAACAGATGGCACCTCAGCCAGCCACTCACAGGGGGTGACTTCTTCAAATATTTGAGGCACCGCAGACAGACACACAGACACACACACAGACACACACAGACACACACACAGACACACACACACACAGACTCACACACACAGACACACACACACAGACTCACACACAGACTCACACACAGACTCACACAGACACACACAGACACACACAGACACACACAGACACACACAGACACACACAGACACACACACAGACACACACAGACTCACACAGACACACACAGACACACACACACACAGACACACACAGACACACACACAGACACACACACAGACACACACAGACTCACACAAAGACACACACACAGACAGACACACACACAGACACACACACACACACACAGACACACACACAGACACACACACAGACACACACACACAGACACACACACACAGACACACACACACAGACTCACACACAGACTCACACACAGACTCACACACAGACTCACACAGACACACACACACAGACACACACAGACACACACAGACACACACACAGACACACACAGACACACACAGACACACACACACTCACACACAGACACACACACAGACTCACACAGACTCACACACAGACACACACACAGACACACACACAGACAGACTCACACACAGACAGACTCACACACAGACACACACACAGACACAGACACACACACACATACACACACACAGACACACACACAGACACACACACAGACACATACACACACACTCACACACACTCACACACAGACACACACACAGACAAAGATCCCCTCGGTATAGCCTTGAACAGGAACGTACAGTGCGCACACCTACTGTACAAGACATACAGTACACACACGCCTACAGTCCTACATGCACCTTCACACAGAGCACACAGACACACAGACAAATACATACACACATAGACACACACACAGACACACAACGACACAGACACAAATACACAGACAAATACATACACACACAGACTCACACACAGACTCACAGACACACACACACAGACACACAAATACACACTCACACACACACAGACAAATGCATACGCACACACAGACACACAACGACACAGACACAAATACACAGACAAATACACACAGACACACACAGACTCACACACAGACTCACAGACAGACATACACACACAGACACACAACGACACTGACAAATACATACACACACACTCACACACAGACTCACAGACACACACACACAGACACACAAATACACAGACACACAACGACACAGACACACAACGACACACTCACACACAGACTCACAGACACACACACAGACACACGACACAGACACACAACGACACAGACACACAACGACACAGACACACAACGACACAGACACAAATACACACTCACACATAGACACAGACACACAAATACAGACACACAACGACAAAGACACACAACGACACAGACACAAAGACACAGACTCACATACAGACACAGACACAAATACACACTCACACATAGACACAGACACACAAATACAGACACACAACGACAAAGACACACAATGACACAGACACACACAGACACACACAGACACAAATACACATACACACACAGACACAGACACACGACACAGACACAAATGCACAGACACACAACACCACAGACACAAATACACAAACACACACCCACACAAATACACAGACACACACAGACACGGACGCGCGTACAGTGCTCACACACAATGCGTACAGTACACACGCACATAAAGCGACAGCCCTAACGCACCACACAGCACCACCACCAACACACCACCACACACCACCACCAACACACCACCACACACCACCACCACACACCACCACACACCACCACCAACACACCACCACACACCACCAACACACCACCACACACCACCACCAACACACCACCACACACCACCACCACACACCACCACACACCACCACCAACACACCACCACACACCACCATCACACCATCACACCACCACCATCACACACCACCATCACACAACCACCACCACACACCACACACCACCACCACAGCACTCACGCCTTCACGACGAAGAAGGGGTCTTCGAGAGACATGGCCTTCCAGTCGGGACGGACGACGAGGTGGAGTGAGGACGAGGAGGTGGAGTGAGGACGAGGAGGTGGAGTGAGGACGAGGAGGTGGAATGGTGAGGTGGATTGAGGACGACGAGGCCCCGGTTGCTCTGCACTGCTGGGCCGCTGGGCTGGGCTGGGCTGAGATCCCCACGGCGGAGCTCCGCGTCCGGGCTCCCACGCGAAAGCACGCAAGGGGCCCGTCTGCCTCCGTGCTGGGGATCACTCGGCGTGGAGGTGGGGGAGGAGTCTGCCTCCGTGCTGGGGATCACTCGACGTGGGGGTGGGGTGGAGGTGGGGGGGGAGGGGTCTCCCTCCGTGCTGGGGATCACTCGGCGTGGAGGTGGGGGGGCGTCTCCCTCCGTGCTGGGGATCACTCGGCGTGGGGGTGGGGTGGAGGTGGGGGGGGCGTCTCCCTCCGCCTTGGTGCTCCTCCTATTCCTATTCATCACCACCATCACCACCAGCATCAACCACCAGTATCTTTACCATTATCACCACCGTGATCATCACGCTCACCATCATCACCACTATCATAACCATCATCATCGCCACCATCATCACCATCATCATCACCACCATCATCACCACCATCATCACCACCATCATCATCACCATCATCATCACCATCATCATCGCCACTATCATCACCACCATCGCCACCATCATCACCACCATCATCACCACCATCATCACCACCACCACCATCATCATCACCACCACCAGCATCACCACCATCATCACCACCATCATCATCACCACCATCACCATCATCACCACCATCATCACCATCATCACCACCATCATCATCATCACCACCACCACCAGCATCACCACTATCATCAAAACAATTATCACCACTGTCATCAACACAATCGTCATCACCACCATCATCACCACCATCATCACCATCATCATGACCACCATCATCACCACCATCATCACCATCATCATCATCACCACCACCATCATCACCACCATCATCATCACCATCACCACCAGCATCACCACCATCATCATCGCCATCATCATCACCATCATCATCACCACCACCACCATCATCACCACCATCACCACCATCATCACCACCACCACCATCATCATCACCACCACCAGCATCACCAGCATCACCACCACCATCATCACCACCATCATCACCACCACCATCACCACCATCACTACCATCACCACCATCACCACCACCACCATCATCACCACCACCAGCATCACCAGCATCACCACCACCATCATCACCACCACCACCATCATCACCACCAGCATCACCATCACCACCATCATCACCACCACCATCACCACCACCACCAGCATCACCACCATCATCACCACCATCATCATCACCATCATCATCACCATTATCACCACCAGCATCACCATCATAATCATCAGCATCACCACCATCATCATCGCCATCATCATCACCACCAGCATCACCACCACCATCATCACCACCATCACCACCATCATCACCACCACCACCATCATCATCACCACCACCACCAGCACCACCACCATCATCATCACCACCACCATCACCAGCATCACCACCACCATCACCACCATCATCACCACCAGCATCACCTACACCATTATCACCATCATCACCACCACCAGCATCACCACCATCATCACCATAATCACCATCATCATCACCATCACCACCAGCATCATCACCATCACCACCAGCATCACCACCACCAGCATCACCACCACCATCACCACCACCACCAGCATCACCACCATCATCACCATAATCACCACCATCATCATCACCATCACCACCAGCATCATCACCATCACCACCAGCATCACCACCACCAGCATCACCACCACCATCACCACCATCATCATCACCATCACCACCAGCATCACCACCATCATCATCAATAACAAAGATCCCCCGTATAGCCTTAACAGACTGTAGGGGCAAGTGCTGTTAGCGAGCGGCACCTACGAAGGCCGGCACGGCACACGAGGGAGTGGGTGGCCAGCGCCACGCCCGGCCGTCTTTGTCTCTCCAGTGACGATGATTTTTACACAGCGCACCAGGTTACTCATTTGAGGCTGAGTCGACCTAGGGGAGGCCCATGACCGGTGGTAAACCACATACAGTGATGGATAACTGTTGGGACCCGGCTTCGTTCTTACCAGGACTCATCAGCACGGTGTTCAGTCACCACTGATTGACTCACTGCTGCAAGCGATGGTCTGACCCTGGAATGGCGACGTTTCGGGAAACGACTCTCCATCACAGCACGTCGCTAGTACTACATATAGATGTTTGTGTGTGTCGCTTGTGAGGACCCACACACGCGCGGTGCTATCCAGCACGGCCATCGCAGCAGCAGAGAGGCTCCGTGTAGTCCACACTGTGACAGCTACAATAGTTCATTGAGCTAAGAGTTCCAATAGCCGCAATGCTGTCCTCGACACGGCGTATCACGTGGTAAGACGGAGGCTTTCGCCACAAATATCGTCCGCAGGTTACATGACGTCATCGCACCTCACAGAGCGTATGACGTCACGTCCCCAGATTACTCTTCGTTAGGAACGAAACAATAAGACTTCTTCACAGATCTGGTCGCCTGACGAAGCTAAGTTGTGGCTTGGCTCTCCAACACACAATCGGTTGGTGCTGTACTAGTGACGAATTGGCCACGTTCTCTTGACGTGACAACCCTGAAGAGTTGGCCGTGTCGGGTGGTGGCGGGTTTAACGACACAACATTTATAGAGTTACGCGATCTAACCCAAGAAACCTCGATTCTGGGTAAGAACATCGATCGCTTTAATGGTCATATCGCGAGGTTTAATATCGTACCGTGGCAGGATTTACGTGGAAGAAACGATATCGCGATAATCGCCATATCTCGATTTAAAGCTTTCGTGACTGCAAGGATTCATCTTCTTTGGTTCTTTCGGTAAAGTCACGTAGAATGAGAATAAAATAATAAATTGATAAAATAAAATAACACAATCATATTCTCACGACGTTTCGGCCACAACACAAGCGGCCTTCATCAGGTGAAGGGACGAGACTGGCTGGAGGACAGCGCTGGAGCGAAAAAGCCACGCTCAGATCACGACCTTTAAGCTGTGTGAGAAGAAACAAAGCGCCTTGACAAAGGAATTCGCATATAATTTAGCATTGAAATGGCTGAGTGATTAGCTTGTGACTGGTCACAGAAATGACTATGTTAAAGTTAAAGCATACACATCCGCAGAGGCACCCCTTGACAAAGGAATTAGCATAGAATTTAGCATTGAAATAGCTAAGTTAAAGCATACACATCCGCAGAGGCACCCCTTGACAAAGGAATTAGCATAGAATTGAGCATTGAAATAGCTAAGTTAAAGCGTACACATCCGCAGAGGCACCCCTTGACAGCTTAAAGGTCGTGATCTGAGCGTGGCTTTTTCACTCCAGCGCTGTCCTCCAGACAGTCTCGTCCCTTCACCTGATGAGGGCCGCTTGTGTTGTGGCCGAAACGTCGTGAGAATATTTTCGTGTTATTTGATTTTATCAATTTATTATTTTATTCTCATTCTACGTGGTGGTGACTTTACCGAAAGAACCAAAGAAGATGAATCGCCATATCGTCGAGTTTTAATATTTTCGCGGCCCCAAAGAATCTGGGAAGAACTGTTATCGCGATAATCGTCATATCGTGAGGTCTTATATTGTGGCAGAAATCATCTTCGCGTGGAAGATTATATCGCGATAATCGTCATTATATCGTGCGATTGGATGCAGCGTCGTGCCAAAGCGACTAACCTCGTGGTCGTTGAACCGTCAGGGCGAAGTTCTCTCATTCGACCACCACGTGGCGCCACCACCAACAACTTTCCTCGGCCACAACATTCAACAACAACACAACAACAACCGACGTTCGCCACCCACAGTGACGGTGTCGTCACCAACACGCCGCTTTGTGCCAGGCTAGGTGCACCTCGAGGCGGCACTCGGGTTCGGGACGTGGTCGAAGGGGAGGGGTCACGTCAGGGACCCCCAGGGGGAGTTCCACGACCGCATGCATCGACTGAGAGCCAAAACGCAATTGATGTATCACAGCGCCACGTGAGCCAATCGTTTATTTTGAAGCCACACGGCGCTCCGTTACTTTTAGCGAAGCTTCGAATCACTCACGCCCGGTGGGAGGGAGGAGGGGGGGCGAGGATGGAAATTTTTTACTAAAAAATATTCGCGACTCCGGCGGGACTCGAACCCGCAACCTTTGAATTGCTGCTTCTCCACTAGAAGTCCAATGCGCTATCCATTGCGCCACGGAGCCACCTGTTGATTCACGCTCCGCACAGCCCCTCTTATAGCTACCCCACACAGCCCGCTCGGCAGTACACGCCGCTTGCATCTCTCCCGCATCACTCCACGTGGTCTCTGTATCTCCCACCATCGCGCGTGGTCTCTGTATCTCCCACCATCGCACGTGGTCTCTGTATCTCCCACCATCGCACGTGGTCTCTGTATCTCCCACCATCGCACGTGGTCTCTGTATCTCCCACCATCGCACGTGGTCTCTGTATCTCCCACCATCACACGTGGTCTCTGTATCTCCCACCATCACACGTGGTCTCTGTATCTCCCACCATCACACGTGGTCTCTGTATCTCCCACACGTGGTCTCTGTATCTCCCACATGTAGTCTCTATCTACCACCACACGTGGTGTATAGCTCTCGTGTTTGTGGCCTGGATATTATTAATGTATAAGCGACGTATCGGGCAATGGCCCTTCAGTATACATGGAATGTATCTCGTCTTTAGAAGAGCAAGATCCAGATCTGGACAAAGTCCCATCGGTGAGCTCCTCCGGCGGGCAAGGCTGCGTTGGCTGGGTCATGTAGCCCGCATGCCCAGCCACCGCATGCCAAAACAGCTATTGTTTGGCCGGATTGAGGGGGCTAAACGGGCGCGGCACGGGCTAGAGAAGAGATGGAGTGATGTGGTACAGGAGGACGTGGAGCTGAGTGGACTTGCCGATGACTGGTACCAGCGGTGTCAAGATCGGCCTCTGTGGAGGAGGCTCGTGAAGGACGCTACTGGGCAGTTGGAGGCAGTCGCCCTCCAACAACAACGGAGGGCGGAGGAGCGACGCTCACAACAACGAGCGGAGCGCCGGGTGGCTAAAGCACAGCAGGTTGGCACAGTAGGGGGCACAGGTGGTGCACCAGCCAGTCATCTCAGTCAGTCGACCCGTGGCACCTGGGTCTGCCCCGTGACCAGCGGGCGTTCGACACTTCACGTGGCCTCAAG